GAGGCAGAAATCTAAGGAGTGCTATGGGCAAGTGCAAGTGCTAAGTGGTGGGGTGAGATGCTGGCATAAAAGGACTTTTTTGTTCACTAGACAGATGCCTTGCCTAAACCACTGGAAGTAAATTTTCCCTTTTAGTTCAGCTAAAGTTCTTTTTCAATTTTTCACCGAAAAACTCACAGCAGTCCTTCAGTAGATGAAAATTTTATCAAAGTCTCCTCAGCTCCACTCTCCAGACAATCATCTTTCCTTCCTTCCAAGAGCTTGAAAACATGCAAATATATTTTGGCAGTCAAGCATAACACACTCAAATATACCTAATGTAAATTCTCCAGATGCACTTTCTGCCCCTAAGAGGAGTGATGAATGTTCAATGGATCTGATAGACCAGCAAGAACACCAAAGGGGTCTATTGATGTGAATGGAAAAATTAATTAACCCTAACAACTATCTGCTTGAGAATAACATAGTACAATAAAAAGAAAAACATAATTAAGAGAGAATTAATTCCTAGTAATTGTAGGGCAGAAATATTTTTTGAATTACTCACTTGTTTTCTGCACCATTTTACATTAAGTGCACGAGGACAAACAAAAACAAAAATTAAGGTGCAATAACATTCTACCAAGAACAGTTTAAGGGCTATGGAGTAAACAACTGTGGTTTTTACTTTATTCTATTGTATTTTATTTATGGTTCTATTTTATAATCTGAACAACTAGAGTCATATTTTATACTCAAGCTACTGCCTCTTCTTTCTGTGGAATCATTCTGTGAAATCATTCAATGTACTTATCTATAGAACTGAGAGAGGAAAACTGAGCTTCAGAGAACACACTAATTGAAAAGCCTGATTAGATGCAATACTATATATTCCAGATTGGGGAAGAATTCAAAGGAAAGGAGGTCACACTTAAGAAAAAATATATATGTCATCACATTTAACTTTGACAGTACTAGCAACTGTTTTTCATTTTAGTGATGCTACTGGGTTAAAGCACTCCTATACTAAATGCAGGACAAATTACTGTTGCTGCAATCTGAAAGAAGTAAGGCAGTTAACTGTTACAGGCAAAAAAAAAAAACACACACAAAACTGTCATAATAAGGACAATCTGTTAAGTAAAGGTAAATCTCCTATTAGTTGACATTCACAGTGTCAGCATAACAATTACATATACTTTTAAATGAAATAGTCTAACATATTTCCAAATGAGTAGTAATTTACTAATGAAAATAGACATTTAAATACTAAATAGCAACAAGCTAGTAGAAAAAAAAAGCTCCTGCTAGCACAGGGTGAACCAAGAATCCAGTAAAATGTGTAGTTAAAATAGCTAAATCACTGTGACTTGGGTCAACAATCACCTGTATTCTCTGCTGTTACCTTAAGTTAAAAAATCATTTAGAAAAATAAAAATCGTTTCATGGGTACAAGTCAAGGCATTTTGTGAAGTATGAACATGCTGCGTTGTTTCTCCCTTATTATAATGTTTTAATGAACTCAATAAATATTTCTTTTGCCTTATTATGTTTTCTTTTTAAAAAACAAAACCAGGCCCTCCCTGGTGGCACAGCGGGTCAAGGCACAGCACTGAGAAGCTAAAGCCACTTCCCCATGAGTTCGATTCCCGCCTGCCCCGGAGGTGACCCCCATGGTACAGCAGACCTCTCCTGACCCACCCGCTGCTCCCCTCAGCAGTGTACTTCGTAGATCTGCCTGTTCTGCTCCCCACTCTGTCTCTGGTGAAGCCTCTCACCGCCACCGAGCCTCTGGCCTGTACCCAGCTCTGTATGCACAAATAAATAAATCTTGGAAAAAAAAAAAAAAAACATACAGACACACTTGAAATTCCTTTTGTGGTCCTGCTTGATCAAAATCTTTCCTTCTCGATAGGTTAATGTTCTTCTGTATTTTTACTACACATTTTTAAACCACAAACAACATATCATCTTGTGTTTAAAAAATGTGCTCCAGTTTTCATTTTATAATGCTCAAATATTTAAAAAGTTTAAGCAAAGAATTGTAATTCTTACTTATGGAAGGAATGTATATTTCATTTACCTGACGGGATCTTTCAACCTTAAAGTATGTGTATAAAAATAAAGTTACCACCTTGTTTCTCTTGTGTAATGCATTGAAACACAAAGTCATCTTGCATTTCACTACCCTAAGACTTGCTAATGACATTTATACTAAGTGTGTGATATTTTAACAATTTTGAACAAAGCATTTTTATGTCAATTTCATTAACAGTGATATTGAAGATGCTGTTAGGGAGCCCAGCAGAATGCCAGAGGAGTTCAAGCCCATCAGATCTGAAAATCATGGCACCATGGCAATAAAACAATTATGAGCACCCCTGCAGGGAAAGGCAATTTTGACAATTAACCTTGAATGCCAATTAGTATTATTACTTTCTGAGGAAAAGTCATATCTTCAAAGATGATGATCAAAAATTTAGTTCCAGCACATTTTTAAAGTGAAATTTCAATTAAGGTGAAAGTTTAAGATTAATAAAAAAATACTTAATCAAAATACTAGATGGGAGATAACATTTATCTACCATGTCTCAGTATACAAGAGAATTAGAAACATGACCATAGCTATGTCAGCAGACAGCAATGGGATAATAAGCGATTTCTTCAAACTCAATAAGTGACTATCTTTTTTCCTTGGAGGGGTTAGAAGGATAACTCTAAAATTTAATATGAAATTGTAGGAAGTTCCCATATTAAATAGTGTGAGTTAACAGTGATGATAAAAACCAGTACTAGCCTCTTATAACAATATATATAGTCTTCATAACAAAGCCCACCTCCTTCACAGCCTAACTCTACACAGCCCCTGCAGCCATGATCATCCTGGTCCAACAGGCCTTTTGTCTCTGGGATAAGATACCCTTCAACTAATTTCTTCTCATGACTTTGCTAACACTAGATGCTCTCCTGTTCCTCTCTGTGTAATTCCAAAATTACAGCAGATACATTATACAGTTGTAACCAATGTGTGTGTGTGTATATATGTACATACATATACACACACACACATTATTCTTCATTTCATACATTTTTTCA